ATCATTTTTAGAATTCTAACAAATTTCAAATATGGAAGAAAGAAGGTGACGTTTATGTTAAAAGAATGGTGCAAATTAACATAATTTATCTTTTCATTTCAGTGTATCATGCAATCTATTTGGAAGAAATGGCTGCCTCGGAAGTCACTCACAAGCTTGCTCTAGCATTCAATATTCCTTTACATCAGATTAACCAAGTTTACAGACAGGGCCCTACTGGTATTCATATTCTGGTCAGCGATCAGGCAAGTCTCGTTTTTCTCCATATAATTATAGCTACTTTTTAAGTAATTCTAAATACCCTAATACTCACATGTAAGTCAAGAATTTTTTGTCAAATGTGGGTACTGTACTTTAACTCTTATCAAAAAAGGAACAATCCCTTCTCTGATCAGAGTGGTGAAAGGTAAGAGCTTAGTCCATCTTCAGAGAAACTAAAAGAAGCACAAACCCTCTCTGCATGGCACCGCCTCTGACCTTTCTGAATGATATCTGGGTAGAGGAATGGCAGAAGCGGCAAGGGAGGGCTGCTCCTCTTGAGATAGCATCAGTTATTACCCCTCTCCACAGAATGATCATTGACATATCCATGGGTCATATTAAAATTCATAGTTTTGGCCCCAAAACCTACCCTCAATTTCACACCGTTGTATGTATAGTAGTACTTGAAAATGTCCATCATTATTACAGCAGCCAAGGCCAAACAAAAACAAGAGTTCTTACAAAATGAAATTCTGATAATAGATAGACCAGCAACCAGGAATTGTGAATTCCTATACAGGCAGTCCCCAAGTTACAAACATCTGATTTATAGACAATTCATAGTTAAGAACAGGGGTGAGACAAAAGGAAGTGAAAGAAATCTATCCCCCGGAAGAGACATTCACTCCTGAAAGAGTTATAATGGGGAAAAGGGGTCTCCACTGAAGCTTTCTCACCATTCCTTGTTTCCACAACAAGCCAAAAATTTTAAAATCCAATTCTCATAGGGACAGAAAGTGAGGTGAAACTTTCTGAACAGGGGCACAAAAAGCAAAACAAATACCACAGGTGTTACCTTTCCCCATGCTATCCAAAGTTTATATCCATTTTTAACTGTGTGTGTGTGTGTGTATGTGTGTACACTAGGGCTGGGCGGTTTCGTTCGTTAATTTCGTAATTCATTATTGATTCGTATTTAAATTAGCTTACGATCCGATATTGAGCCATTCAGGAGCAACTAAAAATCGAAACAAATTTTTCAATTCATTTCGTAATTGGTTCGAAATCGTTTCAAAATCGTTTCGAAATTGTTTCGTTATTATTTCCGTATGTCTGGTGCAAGTTTTATAGTTGTTTTATCAGTGATAAAAAAATAAATTATCACACCAACAGTCAACAACAGAGGGAAAGGGAAGCTTCAGAAGTTCCCCCTGTCCCATTTGGAGGTTTTTTTAGCGTATTGCGCAATCGCGTCCGCCATTAACGAATCAATACGAAATTTCATAAATAACGAAATTTTTTAAAAGAAAAATTCGGAATTCTTTTAAAAAACGAAACGCAATGGACCCCCTAAAAACGAAACGAGTTTAGAAACAAATTTTTCCGTTGTTACCCAGGCCTAGTGTACACACATACACACATGGCTGCATTTACAAAAATGTATCTGTTCTGACTTACAAATTAATTCAACTTAAGAACAAACCTACAGAACCAATCTTGCTCATAACTTGGGGACTGCCTGTAATTTGTTCTATGCGTTCGTTTTCTGGCTGTGTTTAGTCTCTGCAATTCTTTTTCACTGGAAACTCAAAGCAACAACGGCATCAAATAATTAAAATTGCAGTAAATCACATAGCATGTTCCTATCTGTTGGTTACTGCATATTTAATTTAATGCTTTCTATATATATGTCTTGAGTAAATGTAAAATTGGTTTTTATAATGTTTAGATGTATAGTACACTCAGTTTACCCCCCCCCCCCATAGGGATTGGTAGATGCCGGATAACATAACTTCTATTACTATTAAAAAGGTTAATTTATAATATACCCCCAATGCTATACCATAAACTCTGTATTGACTTGATATTAATATTGAAAAACAGTAATTAAAAGTGAGACAAGAGCAACTTAACCTTACAGTAATTACTGCAAAACTGTTACATAATTTTTTATTTAAGCTATTCATTCAGGGTGGGGCTCCCAGTTGCTTGAGAGTTCTGGTTGCTTGAGTTCTGGTTAACTGAGAGTGCACTGTATATTTAAGGAAATCACTTTCCAAAGCACACATTATGTAAAATGTGGACGTTCTTCAAATGACCACCAACGCTGTACTCCTCCTTGCTGTTCCCAAATACTTCAACATGTACAATTTTCTACCGATAACTTAATTTTGTTGACATATGTTGAACCATGAAGTATTTACAAGGCAACACTACACTTCAGACGCAGATAACAAAGTCATAAAGATATTTTAAGTTTTAAAGGATCAAAAATTTATTGGTCCTTAAATAACTGTCCAGCTTGGTGTATAACTCATAGAATTGTGGTATATGGCTGTGCATATTACAAGACGTGGTACTTTTTCTTCTTAGATGGTCCAAAACTTTGAAGACGAGAGTTGCTTTTTAGTTACCACAATAAAAGGTATGTTGATGAGGATAACAAAAAAAAACCCTACAGAGTTTTTCTGTTTAAAGGAGGGCTGGTTTCAGTTTAATCACATCCTATTTGGGTTGCATGTATCCTTAACCATAATTTAGCATTGGGAGATCCAGTCCAGATGAGCCTTGGGTTTATGCATTCTGCCATCCCAGCCCTGAAGTGGTACAGTGGTAATGAGGAATTCAAAAATGTTGTTTTAAGCTTTTTATTTTTGGTTAGCTGCATCTTATGTTGTCTGAACTTAGCTGGTGAAACTAAGGCAGCTTAAAACTAGTTCACGTAACCATTTTGCTTCTACAAGCAATAGTTACCATTAACCAGTTTTTGGCGTTCAGGGAACAAAGTATGTTCTGGTTCATCAAAAAAGGGAACATAATTTCCTAATTGCCTCACTACACCCCAGGGCTTACTGAAGTTTGTCCTTATGATGCTAAACCATATTTAATGTGATTTGCAGACATTTTATTCCAGGCTCCATTGTAATACAGAAGTACTGCTTCATAATGTTTGCAATGTAGGTTTTGTCAAGGTTCTTTTTAAAATAGTTCACTGAACCCCTAAAGTCATTAAACTCTTTTTCTCAAAAACAATTTCTTTGGAGAAAAGAGGGAAGAGCAGAGTTCTAGATACTGCAATTTTCATAGTTTGTAATCTGCCTTGCCTTGGAGGAAGAAAGGGCAAATTAACCCATAACAGTTCTGCGACTATTATGCAAGGAACACAAGAATACCAATTTTGCTACCCAAAAAACAGGGGTACAAATAGTATGTGGTGGTGACTATTATGTGATGAAATACAATATGAGATATTTTAAGTGTGGTGATGCCATACATATATCACTTCACACACTCTGTGAAAGAGCAGATGGCAGAATGGGAAAGGAAATAACCCCTCAAATCCCTACCTTCCTGGTTTAGTTTCCAAAATACTACTGTGAATCCAACAAATTAGGTGTCAGGCAGTCCCTGAGTAACAAGCAAATGACTCCTAGTTAAGAACAGAAGTGAGATAACAGGAAGTGAGAGAAATGTATCCCTAGAAAGGGAAATTCACTCCTGGAAGAGTTACCATGGGAAAAGATTTTCTCAGCTGACGCTTTCTCACCAATCCTTGTTTCAGCAACAGGCCAAATGTTTCAAAGGCCAATGATCACAGGACAGAAAGTGAGGTGAAATCTTCTGAATGGGGGCACAGACAGCAAAACAAACACCACAGGGGTGGTAACCCTTCTCTGTGCTATCCAAAGATTTAAAAAATACATATTTTGGCTGGAGTTACACTTGTAATGTACTTGTTCCAATTAACAATACAAATTCAACTTAAGAACAAACCTACAGATCCTATTTGGTTCATAACTTGGAGGCTGCCTGTCCGGTGTACTTTTTAAAAAAATGAATTGATCCCTGTATTAATTGGTTATGTTTTCCTCTACAGCTGAAAATGGCGAAGGCTTCCATATAATTTTGAAATGATACCTTGCCACATGTATGATGGACTGACCCTCCAGTATATAATGAAGTCAAAGTCAAGAATGACAGATACCATCATGTCTCTTCAGGGATCTGACTTCACCATTTAAAATGTTTCATATTGAAAACACAAGATGACCTTTCTAATGAGTGGTTTAGTACACAAACTTCTCACTGCCATAGCAAAATATCCTCATAAGAGGTATAGATGCCGTAACAGCATATTTACAGGCATGGGAAAAGCAAACACGTTTGCTGTTTTTTGACATATAATATATATATGGCAAGCTATGGCCAGTAGATGCAGTTTCAAGAAGCAGCACTGCTTTCCTATTACACTGTATCCAGTTTGAATGTAAACCTATTCTGGGCATTTACCTTTCTGTGCCAGTCTGTCTCTTAATTGCTTGTACCTTTATGCTGATTTTATTTTTTGATGTTAGCAGAGCACATTGTAATTTGTGTGGAGATGCGTAGCAAAGAAGATAGTGATCAGGTTTGGGATCTGGAGAGTAAAGCTGTCAAAACAGCATCCTTTGTATAAATTGTGTATAAGTGTGAATGTAAGGCGTATACATGTCAAAGTTGGACTTCTTACTAAAGTCCTAGCCAGACAAAAATTAAGCATGCAGCAGAATGCATTACTATCAGTACCTTATTTAAGGGGATGGGAATAAATCCTGCAAGGTGCAATGATTTGCTTTGCAACAGAAAAAAAAATCTGCCTATGCATCATGTTTCCTTGGTGAAGCACTCCTGCAATTCAGTAGGGTTTTTAATTACACTCCTCATGGAGAAAAAGGGAATGTCACTGTCACCAAGGAACAATTTTGCAAAAGTAAGCAAAAACCCATAAAATCAATTAAGCAGTAAAAATGATTTTTCCCCCCTTTGGGGTGCAGACTATTTGTTTTCCCATTTGTGAACTGTCCTTTCCTTTTGTTTCCCCCTCTCTGTCATATGGAACGAACATTAATTACAGTGCCTCTTCTGTAATGAAATACTTGACTAGTAGTTGCACAATGTAATGAATGGATTGCAAGAAAAAAGTCCTTAAATAGTATCTATCAGTGATACATGTCTCTGCTGGATTATAGATTAAGACAGTTATTCAAGAGGGAAGGCTTTCCCAACTTCCCAGTATATGGACTTGCCCATTTGTTGAACAGCTGAAGCCGTCAGTCAAACAACACTGAGAGGGAAAGGAAACAAATGCTAAACATTTTTAATTCATTTCCTTTTTAAATTATGCTTGGACTAGGTGCTTAAAGGCCTAATTCTTCTAAGAAAACTGTTTAATTACGGATATTAGGGTAAGTAATTCCTCCCCTCCCTTGATGTAGACTATTCTGCATAGATGGGAATGGAGAACGGAGTTTGTAAGCTTAAACAGTTTGGGGTTGTTATTGCTGATAAATTATTTTTGGTTGTATTTGGGTATCTTCAGTTGACTTGATGTGTCATCTCAGCATCACTTTACAAAGTTGTGGAACATTTGGCGCAATTGAAAAATGTCACTAATACTGTACAGTAGTTTGGTTCACTTGGATTTAATTAATGGCACCAGCAAATTGCTTTTTTGTTTTTAAATAAGTTGTATACATTTCAATTTCAATAAAAAAAACATTTTCAATACTTTTGTATTTGTCCTTGACTTTATTTTCACAGTATCTAGAAAATCGGAAAAGCACAGAGTGCTGAAATGTTGATACAAAAAGAAATATTTCTCTTTTTCCAGTTATGCTTTATGAAGCTTTTAAAATGCTGACCATTAATTGAAGCAGTGATAGATTGTAACTCATTTGCCTTTTTATTTTGAAATTAGTGAAACCAGTCTAAATATGGATGCCTTCATTTAAATAATGCCATATTGAAAATTACTTGATTTTGAGCAAGTATCTGTTTACCAACGAATTTCACAACCACTTTACAGCGGGACATCCCAATCTGTGATTTTCAGTGACAGCAGATCATCACATCTTATATACATAATGGCGCTGACGCAAATGTGAACATGCTGAAATCTGAACATATTGCTGCCATTTGCTAATATAGGGACACAATACAGAAACTAAAACCAAGCAGATCCAGAGGGCATAGTACACTTTTAGAAGTCAAAAATTTCAGAGGGACTTTGTTTGATATGCCACTAGTCTTTCTCTTGGAAGCTTAATTCCCATAGACAAATAGCAAAATATTCAGCTATGTGCTGCTGTAAAATATTGCACAAGGAGCAATCCACCACAAATGAGTTGTCCCATACTCCAACCTGACAGCAAGAGGCAACATTCTTTTTCTACTAGGACGGTTGAGAAAATCCCTCCTTCTCCATCAGTTTTTTTTTCTTTTGCACAGTCAGCTAGACTTTTCATTTCTCCGAAGGGAAAACGATTTAAGAGTGCGAGGAGGAGGATTGAGTCAATATAAGAAATCTTGAAATACTGTCCCAGCATAGCTGAAAAGTAGATTGAGGGACAACTTCATGCTAAAAAAAAATCAGGGCCCCAGTTGACTGCTTTGCAGGAAGTCACTGTGGAGAAGAGTGAAGTATTAAAGGAAATAATGTCCTCAAGTTATAGAGATGGAAGATTTGAAGTCAAAGTGTAGCAAGGAGACAGGTAAAACACTGGTAATGTAGATAGCACTGTAATAAATGAAGTACATAAAATACTAGAGAGTGGTGAAAGTAAACCCCAGTTTTCTACAGAGAAAAAAGCCGCAAAGTAAGCAGAATCTATGGTGCATAAAACAAGATTTCCAAAGGAAAAGCAAACTCCTGGTTAAGGAAGCAAAAGCCAAACAAACTTTGATAGCAACCATCTTGATTTTTAAGCATTTGGTGATGGGAGGGACAAAAATGGAGAGTTCAAACTGCAAATCAAAAAAGGTGGACAGAGCTCGAGCACAATGTATATCTATGAGTTCAGCTTCCATATCAACAACAGCCAAGGAAAATAAGCAATCAAAAAGGAAAAGGGATTAGTGCACAGACGTACAGAAAGCAACTATGCCAACTAATGTAAACAATCGAGACACATTGAGCATAAATCAGCAATTCTTGAATTACTTACAATCAAGTGTTTAAAAATCTGAGTAACAACTTAGAAATGCAGGGATGTAAGGAACATCTACATTTACATATGAATGACAATGCAGAACTATGCATATCTAAAGATTCAAGGGAGAAGAGTTCTAATAAAGAGGCACCTTTAATTGAAATTCATTCAATATTTGGGAAAATTGCAAATCAATCAATTTTGAGAAAATAGCATCCATGATTAGTAAATTTAAAGTAAATGAATACATTAAAATGAGTAATGGTAATGGCAAAAGGTGTCATATATAGAGCACTTATGTCCAAGACATATGGACATAGATTATATACATGGCAATTGAATTAGAAATAAACGTTAAGAGGAAGTTGGTGGATGCCTAGTTAGAAAGAAGGTTGGCAGACTATGGAAATACGCTGGGAAAACTCAGCATTTGAAAAGTGAGAAAAGAGGAGGGTTGACAAAGCGACATGTTGAAAAGGGATTTATCAGAAGATCAATTCAGGTAAGGATGAACAGGAATACAAGTTGATCACATTCCAATATGTGTGGTCAAGAATCCATTCAATTATTCCATTTAGTACAATTTTGGCATTTTTATGTTATGATTAAGAAAAGAAAACATGTTCAGTAAGTGTGTACGTTCATTCAACAAGATCAATGGTGACAATGGCTCTTTATGTAGTGTTATGATCTTTAAGCTGAACCGCCGGTGGCGCAATGGGTTAAACCCTTGCCCCAGCAGGATTCCTGACCAAAAGGTTGGCAGTTCAAATCTGGGAGTGGAGCTGAGCTCCCGTCTGTCAGCTCCAGCGTCTCATGCAGGGACATCAGAGAAGCCTCCCACAGGATGTTAACACATTTGGGCGTCCCCTGGGCAACATCCTTGCAGATGGCCAATTCTCCAACACCAAAAACAACTTGCAGTTTCTGAAGTCGCTCCTGACACACACACACACACACACAAATCTTTATATTTGTGAAGCAACTGGGTGGTCAGAACCCAGAACCTTTGTCAGGCACTAGAAGATGAACAAGTACAAATTGTAGGGGGCTAAATTTGACACAACAGAGTTGCCGTCAATACTGAAGAAACAGCCAACCCAAGAGAGGAGGCTTGGATAATTTCCATCCACAGGTGGATTGCTCCTTGTGCCACCCTGCAAATGAGATTGGTTTTATCATGAAGATTATTCTGGGATGGCAAGAAGAGCAATACACACCCACCCATGGGAATTTTTAAAAAGAGGAAGAAAAGAAGGGAGGATTTGTGACACATTTCTGAGTATTACTTTCAAGTTATTTGATAGAATTGTTTAGATGATGCAGTTAGATTAGGTGCTGCTGCTAGTGTAGTCTGGAAGGAAATGGATAAAAAAAATGATGGGGTCTCAATGGTTCCAATGAAAAAAGAATGTGGACTCCTTCAGTAGGATCGGCACACGGGATCACTCCTCCCACCACCCAAGAATAAATCTTCACAGTAACACCAATATTTCAGTCTCCGGCACTAAAGTATGCCTAAAGTAGTAATACATATTCCTGTGCAGTAGTTTGTTAAGTGTTTGAAGCGGTTTAAAAATATTAATAGAAAAGACCTCCTGAATTAAATGTTTTCATCCTGTGTAGCTGAAGGGAATTTAAGCATTAAGTCACAGAGTTGTTTGAAGAGCATTCAGTAACACTAAAATGCTGTAATCTGAAAATATAAGTACTGGTACGTTATAAATTGAATGCCCTTTTCTTTAGTTGAAGAGGAATAGGCACACTTCTAACTCAACTTATAAAAACATTTGGATACAACCAGTGCAATGCAAACACCGGTTTATGTATCTTAAGTGTGACAGTTGATAGATAATTCTGGGATGGTCCAATTTGGGGCGGGGGGGGGGGGGGGGGGGGGAGAGATAAACTTATTCAACCAAACACATGAAATGTCTTTTCCATCTTGGACAAACACAACTGTTCTTAATTGCTGAATTAATTCAGCAATTTGCATCTAATTGTTCTTGGGCATTTCTTCCGTTTTGCAAGTGCGGTATTGTTTGATAAATGGCATTTAAAATTTCCTGGGTTATAAACTTAATTGAAGTTTCTCCAAAAATAGCACTCCAACAAGTCAATACGTTTTATGTTTCTCCTATGTTTGTCTCATACCTAAGGCGGAGCTACAGCTGATGCAGCAATGGGGGTTACTTAGTATTTAGTATGTTGAGTCAGCGGACTCAAGTAACTTGACATTCATGCCTGGACACAAAATCATGTTGTTACACCAATAGCAGATATGTTTGACTATACATGAGTCAGAATGCCAAGATAGCTCCATATCTGTGGAAAATCTGCACTTCTGCCATTAAATCATGCAGAACTGGATGATTATTTTTAAAATGCCTTAAGTTAACAAAGGATGGCCCTAATCTTTCTTCCCGTAATCAAACATAGTAAATGCAACTTTTTACCTGTTAAAGAATAATGCAGCAGCGGCAGAGATGCTGGCGAGTGCTTCCTACAGAAGGAGTTGGAGTTACTGGAGCAAAGTAAGCATGAACTTTCACGTCTGGTAGGTGAGCCTATAGGTAGCAATTAATTTTTAATAAAATATTAACCTTGCATATTAAGTTTCAATATAGTTTTTTTTAATCCTGCTACAACATGTTTAGATCACCCCAAAAATGCATCCAGCTCAGTTCTATAGCACTAGTAAACATGAAACAAGGGATTTGAATGGGAACCATACTGAGCATGTGCAATTCAGGCAGAGTTTCAGTCAAAGAAATCTAGCTCTAGATGAGTTTCCAAATATAGTCTACACAAGAGGAGAGAATCCTGTTAATGATGAGAGTGTTTTGAATTAGTGAATTGTAGTTTTCAAAGTTAGCATTTGTGTGTTCAGAATGTAATGCTGTGAAATGCAATGTGCTGAGAGTATAATTCCAGTGTGGAAAGAGTTAACTGAGTCATGAGAAGAACGGCATTCCTAGAGAGTCGTGAATCTTAGTGCGGAGAGTTTTGGTCGAGTACGCCGTGCGTCTTACGTCAAACATCACTGTGGAATGTAAGGAGGTGCGGATTGTAGATAACGTGTTGAGAAGAACCATGTAGCTGCCACTTGAAATGGAAGCAAGTACTTGCTCTGCTTAGCTTCTAATATAAATAGTGTGTTTAATAAATTAGCTTTAGTTTAAGAAGATGTGTTCCAGTGCCTTGCTGTGTGCTGAGATCTACATTTGGACAAATCCCACACTTATGTTCACAGATCGACTACTCCAAAAATCACAAAAGTAGCTCCATTCTACTACCTTAATGCTCTGCATTGACCCAACAAGTTCAGTGTGATTTCACAGTTCACAGCTCACAGAAAAACAGGTGGAATACCTGCAACTTCATATGCCTTTTTGGGTGGTATGCCCATTCCTTGAGTAGTCATTTGCAAAACCACTGGATTCGGGCCCTTTTCCCCAGGAAGTATAGTTTGTCCAGTCAGGCAGTCTGTCTAGAGAAACATGTTGTGCTGAAATAGACAGGACTGGCCTCTCTACCCATTGGAAAAGCAGAACTGCCTCTGGGTGAAGAGAATGAGGCCTGGGCCCTACTTGTTCCACGACATAAAGTTGTGCTTTCCATAAGTAACAGCACATTCTTTCCCTTAGGCAGTGGGTCAAAGCAGAGTAACACCAGGTGAGGTGCTCTCAACCCTTCTCTCTGTGATCACAGAACTTGAAAAACAACACAAACCACACTGCGGTCAGATAATACGTACTCTTATTCTTTTGATGCCCGCACGGGAGACTTGCTGACAGTCATACAGCTCAATTCTCTCTAAGTTGTGGCAGTTCTCAAGGTGTTCTAGAGCCACATCTGTGATTAGAAGGCAGTTGTCCAACTCGAGAACCTGGAGCCTTTCATGTCCACATGTGCTGCTGCTTAGATGCAAAATCCCATCATCTGTGATGTGTTCACAGTGGGACAAGCTCTATAATAGGAACCAAACAAAAACATATATTAGTGATATCTGATTTCTGGCACATGCTCTTAAAGATAAATCTTCTCTTCCACAGGATGGGCTTCACCTCAGCCTATAGGTTTCTTGCAAGAGCAGGGTTTCTCAACCATAGTTCCCTGGAGTTCTTTTAGAGACTGTCATTAAAAAAAACATTTTTGAGCTATATCCTTTTTTTTTATATAGTGGTTCCCTGAAACTTGAAAATGTAAAAAGTAGAGAAAAGACTGTCATAGAATAAGTAATCTAATGTAGAATGCTACCACCAGGAGGAGCCTCATACAGCAGTAATATTCTAAGTGCGCTGCTTGCTAAGTTTAATTACATGTGCTCTGTGGTAGGAGCACTTGTTTCAGTACAATTGCAATGTGCACAAATCACTCCAAAAATACCAAATGGACACACTGGTATGGAAACGGTGACAATATTATATATTTCTTTTAAACTGCTGTCGTAGCTGTTATATTGAATGTATTTCTTTATTTATTACTAGGCATTCCCTGCCACATGTTGCTGTGGCCCAGTCTGTGTATATGTGTTTTGTGTGTGTATATATTTGTGTATATGTATATATGTCTGTGTTTGCATTTATATATGTGGTTTTGCACATGCGTTGTAATGTGTGTGTGTGGTGTTGTTGGTTTTTTTTTGTTTTTTTGCTTTTTAAGTCTTCTGCTATGTTTTTCAGTGTTTTTATGAGTAATGGTCACTTGTTGGTATGATACATGTATTATGTCCAAATTTGGTGTCAATTCGTCCAGTGGTTTTTGAGTTAATCCCATAAACTATATAAATAAAAACAACACATTTTTATTTATATAGATTTCACTAATATTTTAATATCTGCTAATATATTGTTAGTATCCTCAGTTCTGTAATTTCTCATCCTGCATTTTCCATTTGTTTCCATCTATGCATTCAACATTAGTGGTCACGGTGAATCTGTCTGAGAGTTGTCTGCATCTACTGCATTTGTATTATTTCCAAACAAGCTGCCAAAACCTGGCCATTATATGTTGCAATTGGCATATGCTGATATGCTGTTGCCCTTCACAATCTGACATATTGTATGCCTCCATTTGCACTCTGAGCTCAATTGACCCCTGATGGAATCCCGTGACGTCATTATGCTTGAAGCCAAGCTTGTCCTCAACAGGGTACCATATTTTTATGGCACTCTTCCCCCTGCCTCCAATTTGTTGTCTGCTCTATCTTACTGCCCTATTTCTTTGACTTCTTTAATTCCAAATGTCACTTTGCTACTAATTTAGTTTCTGCTGTTTTAGTCACATATTTTTGCACTTTTCTCAGTGGTTTAAAGGTAATTAGCTTTCTTTGCCACCTTCTTTTTGTCACTGCTTTTATTTGCTATAGGATTTAGTTTACCGAACTTTCTTGCATTTGCTTCCCCTCTGTCTTTAATTTCTTTGGGTAATATCAGCTCCTCTGCCTTGCTTTCACTTGAAATCAGAAATATTTTTTCTAAATCCTCATTCCTCTCAACCACACTGATGCGATATAGTCATTTGAGTGATTAATTTATTGGCTTGCTCTCAGTCCCTCAGTTTGCTTTTCAGACATTGCTAGGATTTAATAAATCTCTTCCTTATCTCTCTACTGTCTCGTTAATGTATCTAATAGGGAGAAAGGTTCAGAAAAATGCAAGAAGAAGATAAAAAAACTGTTGGCAAAGGAAGGGTTCCAACTAGAAAAATAAAATTGAACATGGACACTTGCCACTTGGGACAACACGGAGGAGGAATCCAATCATGATGGATTGGCTCCTCATGTGATCTAACAATTCAGGATAGATCAAAGGAAAATAATTCATAAAGCTAATTTGTGGAATGGTGATAAATCACAACAGCTTTACATAGAAAAAAGCTATCAATAAAGTTTTAAAGACACTGGTCATGCTGGCTATATGTTGCCTTTAGAATCAGAAGCATCATGTCTCTTGAATAATTAGTAGTTTTTAAAAATCTATTTTTTTTAAAAAAAACTAGTGCTTAGGTGACTTCACATGCAGAGATCAAGATGAATACTTGCATAGTTTCTAATTTTAAATAATGTGTGTGTGTGTGTATGTAAAGGTTTCCCCTGACATTAAGTCTAATCGTGTCTGACTCTGGGGGGTGGTGCTTATTTCCATTTCTAAGCCAAAGAGCTGGCGTTGTCCATAGACACCTCCAAGGTCTTTTGGCCAGCATGACTGCATGGAGTGCCATTATCTTCCTGAAGAAGTGGTACTTATTGATCTTCTCACATTTGCATGTTCTCGAACTGCTAAGTTGGCAGAAGCTGGGCCTGACAGCGGGAGCTCACACTGCTCCCCAGATTCGAACCGCCAACCTTTTGGTCAGTAAGTTCAGCAGCTCAGCGGTTTAACTCACTAGGCCACCAGCGGGCCCGATACACACACAAACACACGCACAAGAAAATTTACGTAAATTGGAAGTATATAAGGGGGGAAATAGAATTATGCTTTCTTATGGACAGAATCTGTTGAATTCTTGTTTAAATGTTATAACTTTTAAATTGCATTACTTTTTAATGCTGTAAGCTGCTATAAGTCTTGCCCAAAAGTGAAAAGCTGGATAGAAATAGTACTCGTAATAATTATAACAGCAGCAACAACAACAACAATTTACATTTAGTACACAGAGCACTACTTGTGATCGGCATAAAACATTGCAAGTTTTTATTTTATTTTTATTTACAATGCCCTCTCTCCTTCACTGACCGGCTAATGCTCAGCAGCAATTTGAGCAATTCAAGGTTCCTCTGTCAAGAAGATACAATGGAATATGTTCCCCGAACAAGTTTATTTCATAATGTACACACATGTTTCACCTCTCAATATGAAACTCACCAGTGCTTGCAGTTTGGGGCAATGAATTGATAATTGTACCAGGGTATTATCTGTTATCTAGAAAGGAAAAATAGATTTATATGTGGAGCACTGTTCAACACAGTGATGAGCAAAATACATATTGAGCAAGTTTTTGTACTCTGTAACATCTTATTCAAAGTTGAAAACCATATTTTAAAATGATATATATTTACTAGATTTAAAGAAGGTTTATGCAAAGGGCACTCACCAGAACACATTCTTCTAAATCCATTTTTTCTAAATCATGACAGTTCTAAAAATCAGAATAAACATTAACGGTTTTACAGAAGCTAAGAGTTAAGAGTTGCAATATAACACTTAAATATTTTAATTCTCTATGTCCTAATACTTCAATCTCTGTGTTTGTGTATATCTGAATAAAAAGCTAGAATACAACAATAATCCTATCAACCCCCATTGATATTCTGGCCTTTATATCCTTGTGAATAGTGTGCACATTTTACAATGCATTTTTAAAAAGTGAGTGTAGTAGTTAGGGTTGGATTTGGCTGGCAAGAAACCTAGCTAAAAGTTTCCGGAGTTTAAAATTAACTGGCACTATTCTATAGCCTAACTTGCTTCAAAAGAGCTGATGTCATGCCAAAATCCCGCTGAAAGCTTCTCAGAGGATAGACAAAATACAAATTCTAATAATATTAACTTTATCTTACCTAATATTAACTTTATTTTATCCGCTCTGAGTCCCCTCAGGGAGATAGGGTGGAGTACAAATAAAGTATTATTATTGTTATTACCCGTGCTAGAAGTGTAAAACCGGAATCAGTGAGTTGTGAACATCTTGCAGCCTCCAGAATTCTGGGGAATAAGTTTTAAAATTGAGAATAAAGTCAGAATAAAATCATTATGCTAAGATTCAGAACCTAGTGTTTGATTTTAACAATGGAATAAAGAATAGATCATCTACAGCAAGTCCAGTACATTATTCAGATTATTCTCATTTCACAGTTAGACTGCCAATCTCAATTCATAAAACATAAAGAAAATAATATGTCCAATGAAATATGCAAAAATTAAAAATACATCCCATATTCAGACCAAAGAGAAAAAAGGTTGAACTCTGCAATTGTTGGCGTGCTTCTTACACAAAAACAAAGATAGCCAATGGAACTGGTGATTATTTGGTTTCATCCAGACCTTGAACATTTCATTAATAATGTTGATGGTGTGGGATTCACTACCTCTTGGAATTCCATGTTGCCACAGATCTGAAGCATCTACTTTTTAAATTGTGGTGAAATGCCTGCATCCTTTTTATTGACACTGACACCAACACTGAATTATCATTCATGCTGTCATATTTTTAGGGCTAGATCACACTAATATGCTTGGTTATTATCAAACTCAAACTTGGGAGACTCGGAATCATATCAGCTTCTGGAAAAACCTTTACTGTTAAATGATCAGATTCGGTAGCAAACCCAATTGTCTAGAGCTATAGTTCCCAATCTTTGGTCTTCCAGGTATTTTGAACTTCAGCTCCCACAATTCTTAAAAGCTGGTAAACTGGCTGAGATTTCTGAGTGTGGAAGCCCAAACCAACTGGAGGAGCAGAGTTTGAGAAACACTTGTCTAGAGAGAAGAAGAAAAAATAAACCACTGGGAATATCACACTTTTTTCTGTCTCTCTTAGAAGAAATTAAAATTAAGTTTTAAAAACTAATTTAAAAAAAAAACTAGAAGAAAGGAAGAACTGCAGCCACAATCCTTAGAAAATAAAAAATTGCAAAACAAAATATAAAATGCACCAACCTTTCTATATTCACCTTAAGGAAAATAATGTAGAAATACATTGCAAAGAAAAATTCACCTCCACAAACAGACCCTAAGGAGAAGTGGGAGGGGAACAGTATCAGGAAGAGGGAGATGCACAACACACAGAATTCCCAGTAAAGTATCACTTGTATTTTGACTAACAATTGGCTGAGGTCACGTTGTCAGACCAAAACAAGGCCGAACAAGCTCCATATACTGGAGGAGTTCTGGCTGGGACAAGATGGGAAATGAATTTATGAACGCTCCTATGGGATTTGCATGGAGCCTGAGCTAGCCAGTCTCAGGTAAGGGTGGTAGGACTTTGCTGACAAGAACCAGATAAATGTCTGGATGTTATTTTTTCCATATAAATTATTCCATGTCGAATATAGAAAAACTAGACAAGTGCACCCACAGATACTATCAGATGTGTCATCAGCAATAACACACAATTTGTTTCCTGTTCCCATTTTGGGCAAGGTAATATCTTTCTAGAACTTTCCCTATAGAGTCCAAGGGTACAACTACAGTGTAGAATTCTATAGCGTTGAGCCATGGCAGTGAAAGTGCAGTTTCATACTATTTTAACTGCCATGGCTCCATACTATGTCGTCATGGAAGTTGTATTTTTACAGGGTCTTTGTCAAAGAATGCTAGTGACTCCCCAAACAACAACTTCCATGGCTCCACAGCATTGAGCCATGGCAGTTAAAATGGTGCCAAATTGCATTAATTCTAGAATGGAGATATACCCTTAGTTTACCCCATATCAATTATGAGAAAGTTCTGCCTTCTTACTCCTTCCGATACTATGATTCTATGAGGGAAACTGTCACCAAATTATGGAGCATGGTTTCGTTATAGGTTTTTCCGGGCTATATGGCCATGTTCTGGAGGTAATTTTTCTCCTGACGTTTCACCTGCATCTATGGCAAGCATCCTCAGAGGTAGTGAGGTCTGTTGGAAGTAGGAAAAATGGGTTTATATATCTGTGGAATGACCAGGGTGAGACAAAGGACTTTTGTCTGCTGGGGCTAGTTGTGAATGTTTCAGCTGATCACTTTGATTAGCATTCAATGGCTTGGAAGTGAAACATTCACACTAAGCCCCAGCAGACAAAAGTCCTTTGTCTCACCCCAGGTCATTCCACAGATATATAAACCCATTTTCCTACTTCCAACAGACCTCACTACCTCTGAGGATGCTTGCCATAGATGCAGGCGAAACGTCAGGAGAAAAATGCCTAGAACATGGCCATATAGCCCGGAAAAACCTACAACAACCCAGTGATTCCGGCCATGAAAGCCTTCGACAATACATTGAGCATGGTTTTGTTTCCAAATTGTCCCTACCGATGCACAAAGCTGGTTCCTCTTTCTGTATTTACAAACAAATGTTTGGAAAATTCATGTTATAAGTTCTCACTTTGCGGAAACACGATTGGATATATTCAACTAAGTTACTCAAAGAAAGCAGGAAGAAAGGTGAGAGAAGGCTCAAGGGTAATATTGAAGACAAATCAGCAATTCTATAACTACTTTCAAGGGGAGGTTGCATTAGTTTATTGCACCAAAAACAACAGTCTTTCACGTCATCTCAAAAGCTAAGGGCTCCATTGTAACATAAACTTTTGTGGACAAGGGTTTATCACTGGCTCTATTCACACATCAGAGTTATAACAGTTTGATATCAGTTTAACTGATGTGATTCTATTCTATGGAATCCTGGAATTTTTAGTTTGGCAAGGGACTTGGAAATCTAAGTGCTGCTCTCTGGCAGTCCTTCATGAAACTACAAACTGCAGGATTCCATATGATGGAGCTTTGGTAGTTAAAGTGGTTATCAAATTGCTATAATTCTACAGTGTGATTATACCAACAGAGAACTATTTCAGCCATTATCACTCTGTAATCTACCACAATGCTATTCCAAGTGGGGCTCCATGGGGCGGTGCCAGTTTAAGCCATTAGTCTGCGGTGAGCTTCCAGGAAAATATGCAAATACAGTAACACAACACACATAAATTTGTCAGTGCACCACATCAGATAGTTTGAGAAGCACTGCTCTAGAATCTTAAAGCCAGTGTCTATGAATGTATGTGTTTCAATATAGCTTACTGAACGACATTTACTACATGCCACACAGGCTGCAATCCTGTATCTCAGGGGTCCTCAAACTATGGCCCTCCAAGGTCATTTACCCGGCCCTCGCTCAAGGGTCAACCCAAGTCTGAAATTCTTTGAAAACACACAACAACAACAATCCTATCTCATCACCTAAAAGCAGGTCAACACTTCCCATTGAAATACTAATAAGTTTATGTTTATTAAAATTGTTCTTCATTTTAATTATTGTATTTTTAAGTGTTTTTTTGCACTACAAATAAGATATGTGCAGTGTGCATCAGAATTAATTCATATATTTTTTTCAAATTATAATCCGGCCTTCCAACAATTTGAGGGACTGTGACCTGGCCCTCTGTCTAAAAAGTTTGAGGACCCCTGCTGTATATATTCATTTGCAAATAAGCACCATAGACCTCAATGCGATTTCTAAATAAATACGCACAAAGCTATGAAGATGTTACCATTCAACAGTATTATACATTCACAACTTATATGAAAATTAATACAACTTCACAAGAGTCAGAGAAATAACATCAGCACTTACTAATGTAAGATCTGAGCAATACTCACTTCAGCCTTGGACAGTTCAAACCAAGCGCTATGAGAGAAACATCTGTAAGGTTTGTACAACCAGAAATACAGAGAGATTGGAGTTGATGACATCCTCTACAGATACCCACTAGGCCATCATCTGTTATTTGCTGTAACAAAGAGGGGCGGAAAGCTTTGTCCTCTATTGTCATGGTGTGTTTTAAGAAGTATCAAATTAATATACATGTGTCATATTGTTTAGTCATCTGGGAAAGAACTCCCTCCAACACAACTCTCTGGACATCCAGAATTTGTTTTAACATGCTATCGCTGAATTTATTTTCATAATTTAATAACTACATGTATTTGGATAGCAGTTTCTAAATGCAAGATATTAAACATTTAATGTAAAAAAGCAAGAATATTAACAGCCAGAAAGAATACGGAGAAGCCTGCATCTAAAAGAACCACTAAATGTCAGTAATATTTTGAAATTTCTTTTTATCTGGGGTGACAATCCTGTGGCCTACCATATATTTAACAATGCTGTATCTTGCCTCGAGCTGCAAGAAGTGGGTGGTATTATTGTTATTGTTATTGCTATATTATGATTTTTTTAAAAAATCAAAAGTGAATTGAGAACATACTGCAAGGCGCTTCTGGTGTGAGAGAATCGACTGTCTACAGAGACATTGCCCAGGGGACATCAGATGTGTTATCATCCTGTGGGAGGCTTCTCTCATATCCCTGCATGGAAGCTGGGGCTGACGGACAGGAGCTTGTGCTGTCTCACAGAACCTTCAGGTCAGCAGTTCAACCAGTACAAGGGTTTAACCTATTGCACCACTGCAGCTCCCTTATATTATGACAATGATGATGATTTTATATTTTCCAGCATTTTCCCCATCATTGATCAATTAATTGGGTAAAATGGTACCATTATATGAGACATAAAACAATGACTGAATCAATCTCAAGTGTTGCTTACTAGAAGAAGGAGAAGGAGAAGGAGAAGGAGAAGGAGAAGGAGAAGAAGGAGAAGAAGAAGAAGAGGAGGAGGAGGAGGAGGAGGAGGAGGAGGAGGAGGAGGAGGAGGAGGAGGAGGAGGAGGAGGAGGAGGAGGAGGAGGAGGAGGAGATGATTTAAATTGAGGCTTGGAATATTTTTTGACCCAAGAACTACATTTCCTTTTGTGTATCTACAGGGGGTCAAAACTCACAGCTGAGTCTCCTATGTACAAAGATAAAACATCACAAATTACACACACTCACACCACCACCACTACTAATACTGAGGATTCTGGAGTAATTTATCAGGGGACAACAATGAGCTAAAAAGTTCCACTGTGCAACTTGAAATTTGGATACATGGCATCTGCATGTTTAACCAAGATTACCGCTGTATGATTGTGTGCAATGTAATTATGTCAAAATACATTTAGCTAAACAAGCTCCTACTATTTAAGTCCTTGTCCAGAGAACTTTGTTTGGTTTGTGTCAACTATATTTTCAGCACTATTTTTCAATTCATACATTGAATATGTAATAGATTGTGCCATCTTCCTCATCGTTAATATTTAGGATTTCAGGTTAAAACCACAGAATGATTGGAGCTGGAAGAAACCACAGGGCCATCCAGTCCAACTCCATTTCCTCCAGTTCTCTAATTAAACCACTCCTGATAGATAGCCATCCAGTCTGTTTAAAAGTCCCCAAATAAGGAGCGTCCACCACACTCCCGAGGCAGTGAGTTCTACTGTTCAACAGCGCTTATGTGTGATTGAAGAACAATTCTTACCGTACATGACTGAAGGTTTAATATAACCAGTTGATGACAGTGATTCTCAATATGGTGAAGTGCTTCATCTACTAGCTGTATCAAAATAATAAATATAGAAAATAAATAAGTCATAGTAGAAACACAACAGTATGGCAATGCAAAGTATCAACTGAAACAAATCAATTACTGTATTTTATCAACTGCCACATTTTTTCCCCAAATATCCCAATATAAAACTAATCCATGCAAGTTCAGCTTAGTACCTATGCAGGTTTATACCTGTGTACATCCTTTAAGAAATAGTGCCTTTAGTCCACTACACCCTTTAACCAGTGCTTCAATACCATCTTTTGTAATCTGACCACACCAGGAAAGATTCAGGAGTTCCAGATTTTGGCACCCTTCACTGTAACAATTAAGAAAACAAAACATGAAGTTTGAATAGTTATTACACGGAAATTAAACTTATATGAATGAACAAGTACTATAGGTAACTACAGCCACTGCAAAAAAACCAAAAAAACTTGAGAAATGACCACACACATCTTTGATGATTTGAGAACCACTAATACTAGGATGATATTGTTTGAGGCAATACTAAGGTGTTGGTTTCAATATATGCCCAACACACTGTTTTTCTTTTGCTTTTTACCTGAGACTCTTTAAAGAGTTGTTTGTAATAAAAACACAAGATGTGAGATCCAGATGTTTTAGTCTGGAGCAGCATTTACCAATGCTGTAACAAGTGCTGTAATGAAAACACAGAATAAAAATATAATTAGAGTTTGTTTGTTGTTTTTTTAAATGAGGCATTGCATCAAATAATATCTACTTACCTATCAGTAATTTTTGTGCATCCATTAAGGACTAAATGTTCAATATTTCTACAGTTCTGTGCAAATGTTCTGGAAGAAAATGAAATAGTCCAATTAAGCAGAACACATTTTACTGAGATTTCGATTCCCCCTATGTAACATTACATAGCATAGCCAAATTTGAAAGAAAACCTGCGTTCTGTAGTTCCTTACATTGTGTCTCAAAATTTATTTTCTGATTTGTAGCTTTCCTTTAATCAGTACAAGATCATACAAAGACTGAAAACCTGTATGCTTCTGTCCTCTTGAAACTGTTAATTATAACAAGGTCCAACATGTGTTTATAGGCTGATCCTAGAATTAATTAGAATAAAATAGAATTTAAATTACACCAGTGCTTCTAATTGTGCCTAGAATTAGCTCTTAATGATTTATTTATTTATTTATTTCCCACATTTGTATCCTGTCCTTCTCATTCAAAGGGACTCAGGGTGGCCTCACAACAGGCAGCAATTCGATGCCAACCACACAGGTAAAGGTATAAGTTTCCCCCTGATTAAGTCCAGTCGTGTCTGACTCTGGGGGATGGTGCTCATCTCCATTTCTAAGCAGAAGAGCTGGCATTGTCCGTAGATACCTCCAAGGTCATGTGGTCAACATGACTGCATGGAGTACCATTACCTTCCCACTGGAGCAGTACCTATTCATCTACTCACATTTGCATGTTTTCAAATTGCTAGGTTGGCAGAAGCTGGGGCATAACAGCAGTTGCTTATGCCGCTCCCCGGAATTGAACCTGTGATCTTTCGGCAAGCAAGTTCAGCAGCTCAGTGGTTTAACCCACTGCGCCACTGGGAGCTGACGACATACAATTCCAAAAATAACAATTGCAATTAAAACCACATAATTAAAACATCAATTATTAAACATCCATTAAAATCATGCAAGTTCAAATCATAGTCCAAGATCTGTCCATTTGTCAGTCACATTAAAATTTCTCTCATTATTGCATTGCTACAATTACTGCTCAAATGCTTGGTCCCACAACCATGTCTTAAGTTTTTTCCTAAAGGATAGTAGGGAGGGGGGTACTCTGATTTCATTTGGGAGAGAGTTCCACAGACTTGTCTCATATTCTGATGGTAAATGGTTCCAAAAAGTGCTGTCATTAGTATTTTTGAACCATGGGACATTGGCATTCAGAAGTTTTTCACCCCTAATATTAAAGTTCTTCATAGCCATGGTGCAACAGCTGGGAGAAATTGCTTCAAAAGCGTACAGCTCTAAGCATGGGACACTATATTAAGGAAGTAGACAAACTGTGGTTCCCAAGCCTGTGCTTGCAGGCTTCAGTTGTCCCCCCACCCCCCCCCCCCGACTTCCCAGACTCTTGCTTTTCTGCCCCCCCCCCCCCCAGAAATGCCTTGCCTTTACTAGGTTTACATTCACATTTTAAATATGCTCCTCTCAATACATTTTCATGCAAAAATAGAGTTCCTGATATTGACTATGACTGGTCAATTCTATTACAAAACATATGAACTTGAAAAAGTGAAGTTTTGGGGCTGGAAGATGCATTATCTCCATAGTATTCCTTGTGACAGAATCATTTGTTACATAAAGATGCCGAGTGGGAAAGGTTTGCAACTGTTAGGCTGCAACTCAAATTAGCCAGTGGCAGCAAAAAGTGCAAGTCAAAGTTCAGAAACAGCTAGAAACTTACAAACGGCCCCTCTCTGCTCTAAGTGACCCAGTGATCACTATTTACATAGAACCATAGAGCTGGAAGAGACTACAAAGGTCATTCAATCCAACCCCCTGCCATGGAGGAAAAGCACAATCAAGGTACTCCCAAAATATGGCTATCCAGCCTCGGTATAAAAGCCTGCAGAGGAGCTTCCACTACACTCTGAGGCAGAGACTTCCACTGTTGGACAGCTCTTACTGTCAGGAAGTTCTCTTAGTGTTCAAGTGGAACCTCCTTTCCTGTAATTTAAACCCACTGTTCTGAATCTTAGCCTCCAGGCCAGAAGAATACAAGCCTACTAACTCTGTATTCAGCAGTGGAACAATTTCTTCCCTTAGCTGCTCACTCACAGTGAATTTAGCGCTCAGCTACAAGGATCTTTTATCTATTCAGTCACAATCATTATGCAGAATGGGCCAAAGGTCAGCGGAAGCCAATACGCACAAATACATGTTTCTGCTTTGTCCTATTACAGCCTCATTTCAACCATATTGAACCCATGCCCATTCAAATGTGCCCATATTTCAAAGTATTACTTACTTCAAGGAGGAGTCTCCAACCCCAAGACAGCCTCTCAAACTTAGCTGTCTCAGGAACCCACCACATCTTTTGGAAATATTTTCTAACACTCGGCCCTTAAATAAATGAAACAAATGTCAATTTCATATCTAATCAGATCAAATCTTTCTGAAGATTTTGTTCAAATTCTATTTTAATCAATGGCATGACTCCTATTAATGAAAAAACTTATCTGGGAACCCAAGAAATGGTTCTTTTGAGCACATATGGATTTCTTTGAAATAAATACAACATGTGGAAAGTTGCTATTATTTCATATATTGTACATGTTGAGTTCCAATACTGGAAATGCTTCAAAGTTTTTCTAGTCCAAGTGTTTAGTTTCTGATCCATTCCTTCTGTAACCTTACTATATAATAGCAAACTGTTTACAACCGAGAAAAGGTAACTTATGCCAAATTCCAGCATCACAGTGGTTGAGTATAAGGCTGCATCTCTGCATGGTAGAACTGATGTAGTTTGATACCACTTCAACCACCAAGGTTCAGTGCTATAAAATCATGAGAGCGATAGTTTCACGATGCCTTTAGTTCTCTTTGCCAAAGAATGCTGGTGCTTCACCACACTGCAAGTCCCAGGATTCCATAACATTGAACCATGGCAGTTAAAAGTGGTGTCAGAATAAGTGGATTCAGGTATGTATTAGGCAACAGAATGGGTGAGGTTTCACATAGTTGCCTGCTGCCCTTGAAAGGTATTACAGCAGGGCCATTGATTACACAAGCTTATTTATATGCTAAGAACTCTGAATACCATAGAATTGTTCTGGAGTATACAGCAATACCTAGAATAGTATTCTCTCTAGATCTGCAGTGCTATTAATATTAATAGTAAACCATATTTTAATTTGTTACCTGCCTCAAGGCATGTTACCTGGCTCAAGATGGTGTACAACAGAGTTAAAACACCCAGGTAAAACAAAATGCTATTTATTTATTTATTTCGTATCAAAAGCATTGCATAAATTAGTATGAAACTGATAAAAATAGAAGGAGCACAAGCGGCTAAATAGCTTTTGACCAAAAACGTGCAACAGCAACGGTATTGAATGTAGCCTCCAACAATTCTTCCTCTGTGCATGAGGCAAGGCATAGTGGACAAGAAATGCCATTTAAAAACATCTATTAAAATAAATAGTACAAATATTAAAATGTGACATTAATAGAATGTAAATTTAAAACTGGATATGCCTGCCAGAAGAGAGAAATCTTTTATTGTATTTTAAATTCTGACAGCTCATTTAGCTGTTGGAGTAATTCCAGCAGATCATTCCACAGTCTTGAGGAAACCAATGAAAAGGTCCTTGAGAGAGTTTATAGTCAACTTTCATCACTTGCTCTGGCAGAAATTGACCATAGAATCACATAGCGGCCTAAAGAGAACACTTCTCTAGGCATTGCTGTGTCAATCAGAGCGATTCTATGGTATGTTTTGACCAGAAATCCAAGACATTGTTCATTTCAGGTATGAAAAAAAGATTGCAAATTGTTTAAGAAAATCATTTTATACTAAGGAAACAGGTTCCTTGAGTAATACAAGGTCCTACTTTACTAATTTCAAATTCATGCTCAGCCACAATATGTCTCTTCAGTTGTAACATTAATTGGAAAAAAACCACAGTATTCCTACTAACCTCTACATCTGTCTGAAAATTAAAAAGATCTATCCTTTGCCAGTTACTTCCATCCAAGGCCAAGACATGCCAAGCCTGAAATACACAAACAAACACATCATATACTTCCAATCAATTTCAGTAAAGACAACTTACATTTTCAATACTTTCCTCTGAAACAATGTGGTACAGATATAAAGATGAATAACCACAACCGTTTACTAATAATTTAATAATGTAAAATTATGCTTTATGTTTTGGGGCCTAGAAGTGCAGGAAAATTGCCTAATAACATATAAAGCAGTAAGAAAGAATCCTTATTTGGTGTTCGGTAGTAGTTATAAGTGTGAGCCAAGCTCATAACTAACCTCAGTTATAAGCTTTCTTGGAAGCTTTAGGCAAGTTACTATTTACCTGGGCCCAAATTTGCCACATTTGCAATAAGGAAATCGTAATATATTAACTTATCCAGACTATTAACCCATGAATTAACATTCTAAACATATTTAGCACAGTGTAGCACCATGGCTGAACCCAGATAATCTATTATTATTATTAACAAAGTTTAAGAAACAAACCAAACGATCTGGTTCTCTAAAGTTTCTTAGCATTGCTTTCTTTAGAAATTCCTGAAGCTGGTTTGTTCCCCTAAATCACATTTTAAAATGTTGGAGTTTAAACTGTAGTCAACTGAAAATGAAATTTAAAAGTTTCTACAGTGATCTCTCCACTATAGAAAGGAAGAAAAGGAAGAGTGCATGAGTTCAACAATCATTCATATACTATGAAACCATAATAAAGATTGTATCAGAACCAGGTCATATTATATTAAGTTAAAATGGTTATTAACAAATATACTCTACAATGTTTTTTGATGAGCTGATGCTAGAAAATTGTTTATTTTAAAGTAACTATGGGTCATTGTTTCTGGGGTCCTGGTTGGGGGGAGGGTCTTGTCTATTCATTCTATTTTATACATTAATGAAATCTATGATATTAAAAACATTTTAAAAAACACAAGTAAGAAAAACATCCTTTTTTGCTATTTACAGAACAATGAATATTATAAGACAAATGCTTTTCTGTACCTTAGACACTTGTGCGCATCGACACAAAGTTATTATATCCAGGAAGGAAAATATTCTATGAAAAAGGAGGGGAAAAGTAAAACTACAGTTCTGAATAATCCGACCTATCATACTCATGTTAACATATTAAATCAAGTTTTCTTTAAAAAATGAATGCTTGAATCAGATTAAACGTTCAAAGCTTGAATGAATGACCAGGGAGGGGAGAACAGAGCTAAGCTTCCCTACTTCCCTACTTTGCATACAGACACACAAACATTTTTATAACAGACTCAACTTGTCCCAAATACGCCTTTGTATTCTGAGTCAGGCAACAATGACTATTTACTTTCCTCTGTTAAATAAGAGAAAATAACACAGGCATTTTTGCTAAGAGAGGTGAAACTGAAGAACTGCAGGCTACAGTCCTGGCTTATTTTCTCCACTGAGGCTCTTTCTACACTGCCATATAAAATGCAGATTATCTGCCCTGAACTGGATTATATGGCAGTGTAGACTCATATAATCCAGATCAAAGCAGACAATGTGGATTACCTGCGTTGATACCCTGAATTATATGGCAGTATAGAAGGGCCCTCACTCTGCAGGCTGCAGATACAGCAGGTCCTCAGTATCCACTGGAGTGTGGTTTCAGGAAATCCTTCATCCTGTGGGTAGCAAAATCCATAGATGTGCAAGTCTCATTATATATCATAACATGGTAAAATGGTGTCCCTTATATAAAATGACAAATAACTCAAAGAAGTGCCAGAGAAATCCTGAGTATCTGTGAAATAGTAGGAGGCCATGGGTATGTCTACAAATGAGTGTAGTACTCAGAATGAGACAAAATCAAAGATTGCTTTCTGGAATCCCCCCCCCCCCCCAATATTTCTGAGCTATGGCTGTTTGAGTCTATTGATAAAGAATCCATGGATAAGGAGAGCCTGCTATACTCATTCCTCATTTTAAGTTTCTTTATTGCCTTTTCTCCAATGTCATTTTTCATTTCCCATTATCCTTGTTATCTCTCAATACTTATAATCAGCCGACGGGTTCCACATCTACAGATTCAATTGAGAAAAAAAAATCCAAACAACAATCTTGTTGCACACATTACATTAATATTCTGCTGTAAGCCTCCCGCCATTTCAGAGGTCCGCAGGCTGATTTTATTTATTGTTTTATTTATTTACAGCATTTATATACCGTTTTTCTCACCCCGAGGGGGACTCAAAGCGGTTTACACATAGATAATGGCAAAAAATTCAATGCTTTACAACTACAACAGTAAAACCACACTTTAAACATAAATCATATTAAAAACAGTGCATCATCAAATATCAAAACAGTTATTAAAACCATAAATCAATCTCATCAGTCGAGTCACCGTTCCAGTCCTTGTCCCACTAAAAGCTGCATACATCTATTGTCTGAAGGACTGGTCCCAGAACCATGATTTTATTTTTTTTCTAAAGGTCAGGAGCGAGGGAGCAGATCTTACCTCCTTTGGGAGTGTGTTCCATAGGCCCGGGGGGGGGGGGGGGCACAGCCAAGAAGGCCCTTCTCCTCGTCCCCACCAGCTGCATTTGAGTTGTTGACAGGAGTGAGAGCAGGGCCTCCCCGGATTATCTTAAATTGCGAGGTGGGACATAGATACCACTTTAGTATCCACAGGTTCCTGGAACCAACTCCTAGTGGACACCAAGGACTGTATTTACCCTCTATTCCCATGTTTATTTTACTATCTTCTTTATTAGTGTACAAATCAACATGTGCTGTTCCCATTTGGTGTCTTCTGTCTGGCATATTTTCCATGTTTAGAAATAAGATTTCCTTTACTCTCACACATCCATCTCTTCTGAGAGTTTAACATTTAAAGCTTTCCTGTAATGGAAAAATGCCACCTCTGTTCTTTGCAAATATTTCTGTGGTACATAATTACTTGCACATCCAAAGGATCACAAAAGTTGTTCATTCCATCCATCCAAATCATTTTTTGCAATCAGCTGTTGAATAATTTTTGCTGTAATCATGTTGATGAGAATTCTGCTTCTGAAAAATGGGATTTTATCCAAGTCAAAGAACTATTGTAATCCAAGAGTAGAGAATATGTGATCCCCCAGATGTTACCTAAGCCTCATGGAAAATGCATTCCAACATCTGAAAAAACATATTTTTCACCTTTCACTTAATATTGTTTTATTAAATGACTTTTGAATACCCACGAATCATTCAAAGCCATCAAATATATTACCATTTACAGCCTGTCTTTATTTGAAAGACTTTTGATGGGGTACATAGTTGTCCCCACTTGTTATGTTATGATTCAACTGTGAATTATAGGTTAAAGAAAGTGATGGTAATTTTTCAAACTCATACCTTCATGATCCTAGTTCAACAATCTTAATCACCATAGTGGTTTTCATATAATTCTTACATCAAGAATAATTGATATGGTCTATTGCAGTGGTTCTCAACCTTTCTAATGCCACAACCTCTTAATACAGTTCCTCATGTTGTGGTGACCCCCAACCGTAACATTATTTTCATTGCTACTTCATAACTGTAATTTTGCTACTGTTATGAATCGTAATGTAAATACCTAATATGCAGGATGCACTTTCATTCACTGGACCAAATTTGGCACAAATACCCAATATGCCAAAATTTGAATACTGGTGGGGTTGGCGGGAGGATTGATTTTGTCATTTGGGAGTTGTAGTTGCTGGGATTTATAGTTCACCTACAATCAAAGGGCATTCTGAACTCCACCAACGATAGAATTGAACCAAACTTGGCACACAGAACTCTCACGACCAACAGAAAATATTGGAAGGTTTGGTGAGCATTGATCTTGAGTTTTGGAGTTGTAGTTCACCTACATCCAGAGAGCTCAAACAATGATGGATCTGGACCAAAATTCGCACAAATCCTCAGTATGCCCAAATATGAACAATGGTGGACTTTGGGGGAAATAGACCTTGACATTTGAGAGTTGTAGTTGTTGGAATGTATAGTTCACCAATAATCAAAGAGCATCCTGAATTCCACCAATGATAGAATTGGGCCAAACTTCCCACACAGAACCCCCAACAGAAAATACTATGTTTTCAGATGGCCTTTGGTGACCCGTCTGACCCCGCAGGGGTCCCGACCCCCAGGCAGAGAAACACTGGTCTATTGTATAGTCTTAGCCATAGGTGTGGCAATGGGGTCTGCAATCTACTACTCATCATTACATCATTAATTTTTGAATCATTTGTATTCTGAGACAGTTTAGATTTATAAAATTGCCTACATGATGGAATATATTTTTTCTTCAATTATGCCTCTGCTCTGGCCTGAATTTTTCTCCCTATCTTGTAGATGCTTGAAAATTAGAAAGGAAATAAAGTAAAAGTCAGCCAAAAGTCTCCAAAAACATGTTACAAATAGACAACTGCCTGATATACCCACAAATAAGTTGAGAAATTGTAGTGAATAATCAAGCCAACAAATCAGATTTGACTTATCAATGTGAGTATTGTGCCTTAACTCTTATTAAATGAAGGAATCACCTTCTCTGTGTAAATGGATGAAAAATAAGTCTGTCCTGGGAGAACCTAAAAGAAGCACCAACCCTTTATTTGCCAGGGTGCCACTGGTCTCCTATGGAAGCATTGGTGATTTCCCCTGTCCACATAGTTATCCTGCACTTGTCCATGGGTCATAGAAAAATCCACAATTTTGGCCCCAGCACTTGCCCTCAACTTATATATGAGGTCAACTTATACTTCAATATACACACTAAGTCACTTTTAAGTTAGTTCTTACATATGCATGGCCCACCAAGAATTTTATCCTATTTGGATATTACAGTATACATAAAATATTCTATCTATATCTCTACCAATGTTTCTAAAGTTTTGGGTTTTCATATGTAACGGATGCATAATACATAATTCCTAATTACTGTCAATGCAAAATCTACTCACACCAAGCTGCATTAATAATATACTATTAAATGAAGTCAAAACAACATATTGATATATTTTGCAACAGGTGCCATTAAAAACTGCACCTCTAATAGCTAGTCTATATCTCAAGCATCAATGAAATTTAATCTACAGGAACTATCATATTGGAATTACAAATACAAAATTACCTTAAGAGAAGTTCTTTTGGTAATTCTTTGTTAATAAGGGCTTCTTCGTCATTTGAAAATGCCTAAAAAGAGGAAGAGACCACACCAATTCTGAATTACAACCACAAATTTGCCTAGCTCAAAATGAAAGATAGAGTTGCTGATTAAAATCATTCTTAAACATTTTCTTAAATAGGAATGCATGTTATTTTAACACATATTAGATTGAATCCAAAGAGCAATAGACAGAACAAAGAACTAAAACAGAACTAAACAGAACTAAACAGCCAAGAAGCCCACTAGTGCATGTTGAGTGAATCTTCCACTAGTGTCATACCTCTATAGCACAAGGGTTTCCTTTAGAGTACACTGAAAAAAATCACAATAGTGCAATTATGGCAGTGGGAAAACATTAAAATGAGAAATGTGGGGTATGGAAAGATGACGACAACTTCCCAGGAAATAGCTGAAGAAGGATGAGGGTCCGGGAAATATGCAAGGGGTATTTAAAAATGCCCTCTCTGTGAGAAAGCTATAGTGTGAATGATCACAGGGCCAAAAGAGAGCTGCAAAAAGCAGCATTGCAATCCCAATAGTATTGCTATAAAATCTGCCTTTAGCAAAACAAGTGATTAGTGTGGCAAGACTCTCAATTTCATAACAATACAGGCAGTCCCCAAGTAACGAATATTATTGGTTCTGTAGGTTTGTTCTTTAGTTGAATTTGTATGCAAGTCAGAACAGGTACATTTTTTTTAAGTGTAACTCCAGTCCCACATACACACCTATCTTTGGATAGCACAGGAAAGGGTTAACACCCTTGTAGTGTTTGTTTTTCTGTCTCTGCCTCTGTTCAGATTATTTTACCTCACTTCCTATCCCTGCAATAATTTGGATTTTACAAAAAAAAAAAAAGACGTTGTAGAAACAAAGATTGGTGATAAAGCTTCAGTGGAGACACCTTTTTCCCATGATAACTCTTCCAGGAGTGATTTTCTCTTCTGAGAGGTAGATCATAGAATCATAGAATCAAAGAGTTGGAAGAGACCTCATGGGCCATCCAGTCCAACCCCCTGCCAAGAAGCAAGAATATTGCATTCAAATCACCCCTGACAGATGGCCATCCAGCCTCTGCTTAAAAGCTTCCAAAGAAGGAGCCTCCACCACACTCCGGGGCAGAGAGTTCCACTGCTGAACGGCTCTCAGAGTCAGGAAGTTCTTCCTAATGTTCAGATTTCTCCTATTTCCTGTTGTCCTATCCCCATTCTTAACTATGAATCATTTGTAAGTCAGATGCTTGTAACTTATTGTTAAATCGACAAATTATGTAGGAACATAGTTGTTTCATATTTATTTGTTCATGCTTTTGCTCCATTCACTCTGAAAGAGTCACAAGGGAGAGAGGTTAACTGCTTCAAGTTTTACTTCCAGGCTTCAAGAAAAGTGCAAACTGAGAATGAATGCATGGCAATGGGTTTCTATCGAAAACATGCACTTGAAGAACACCTACAATGAAAATAGGCAAGATCCTGAAGTGTAAATATGTATATATTGCTACATACATATTTACACTTCAGTATCTTGTCTATTTCCATTGTAGCCAAATTTGTTTGTTTTTGTTTTGTTTTTGTTTTTTTGTCTAGTAGGCCTGGTCCCCCTCACACTAATAGACAACTTTCAGACAAAATGAAAAACCATGCTACAGGAAAAGTTGAGAAGCTTGGGGTTTACACCTCGAGTGTTAATAACAGTTGGATACGACAAAGCCAAATCCATGATTAAGCACTGTACCTGGGATGTGGAACTGCAAAGCATCTGGGAGAAATGGGCAGATACTCAGAAATTACAGGCACACCATACCAGGAATGAGTATGCCCACACAGTATGGAGAAAGTAGAAACTGCCAGGCATGTCCTTCTATACTGTGACTTTTATAGAGATATTTGAGCTGTTTTTATTACTCTCATTGCACAGAAGACACTTGGTAGAACTGATGACTACTACCTAGAACATCTCATCGATAATAGGGAGACATCGATCACTCTTAGGGCCTTTCCACACTTCATATAATCCAGAATATCAAGGCAGATAATCCACAATATCTGCTTTGAACTGGGTTTTCGGAGAGTCTCTCCACAGCTATTTAACTCAGAACATCAAGCCAGAAAATCCTACAATACCTGATTTGAACTGGATTATCCGAGTCCACATTGCCATATATTCCAGTTCAAAACCAATAATGTGGCACAACCTGGGGATCACAACCATACACGGTGAAGACATCTGCCCTTGCGCTATGCTACTCTGCTGCTGAGTATGCATGCCCAGTGTGGAACACATCTCACCACACTAAAACAGTGAATGTGGTTCTTAATGAGACATGCCGCATTATCACAGGGTGTCTGCGCCCTACACCACTGGAGAAATTACACTGCTTAACCGTTATTGCACCACCTGACATCCGCCGGGAAGTAGTAGCCAATAGTGAAAGGACCAAGGCAGTGACATCCCCAGCTCATCCCTTGTTTGGGTATCAGCCAGCATGTCAACGACTTAAATCAAGAAATAGTTTTCTTAGATCTACAGAGACACTCGCTGGAACACCTCAGCAAGCGAGAGTCCAAAAGTGGCAGGCTCAAACCCACCACAATCCGTGGGTGATACCAGATGAGACTCCCTCCTGGGCACACAGAAGACTGGGCGACTTGGAAGACACTGAACAGACTGTGCTCTGGCACCACGAGATGCAGAGCCAATCTTAAGAAATGGGGCTACAAAGTGGAATCCGCAACATGCGGGTGCGGAGAAGAGCAAACCACTGACCACCTGCTGCAATGCAACCTGAGCCCTGCTACATGCACAATGGAGGACCTTCTTGCGGCAACACCAGAGGCACTCCAAGTGGCCAGATACTGGTCTAAGGACATTTAATCAACTACCATGTTTGCAAAATTTGTTTTTTGTATCTGCTTGTTTGTTTTGTTCTGTTAGAAATGTAATATAATGGTATGGTTGCTGATGACGTGATAAATAAATAAATACCCTGTACTTTGGCCACATCATGAGAAGACAGGAAAGCTTAGAGAAGACAATGATGCTGGGGAAAATGGAAGGAAAAAGGAAAAGGGGCCAACCAAGGGCAACATGGATGGCTTTATTTATTTATCGTATCATCAGCAACCATACCATTGTATTACATTTCTAACAGAATGAAACAAACACACAGATTAAAAAAACACACACACAGAGATTTTGCAAACTTGGTAGTTGATTAAATGTCCTTTGACCAGTATCTGGCCACTTGGAGTGCTTCTGGTGTTGCTGCAAGAAGGTCCTCCATGGTGCATGTGGCAGGGCTCAGGGTGCATTGCAGCAGGTGGTCAGTGGTTTGTTCTTCTCCACACTCGCATGCCGTGGATTCCACTTTGTAGCCCCATTTCTTAAAATTGGCTCTGCATCTCGAGGTGCCAGAGTGTAGTCTGTTCAGCGCCTTCCAAGTCGCCCAGTCTTCTGTGTGCCCAGGGGGGAGTCTCTCATCTGGTATCACCCACGGATTGAGGTGCTGGGTTTGGGCCTGCCACTTTTGGACTCTCGCTTGCTGAAGTGTTCCAGCGAGTGTCTTTGTAGATCTATGAAAACTATGTCTTGATTTAACGTTGACGATGGACGGATGGATGGTATCATTGAAATGACTGGCTTGATTCTGAAGGAGCTGGGGTGGTGACGGCCGACAGGGAGCTCTGGCGTGGACTGGTCCATGAAGTCACAAAGAGTTGGAAGCGACTAAACCAGTGTTTCTCAACCTTCCTAATGCCGCGGCCCCTTAATACAGTTCCTCATGTTGTGGTGACCACCAACCATAAAATTATTTTTGTTGCTACTTTGTAACTGTAATGTTGCTATTGTTATGAATCATAATGTAAATATCTGATATGCAGGATGTATTTTCATTCTCTGGACCAAATTTGGCACAAATACCTGATACACCCACATTAGAATACTGGTGGGTTTAGGGGGGATTGATTGATTTTGTCATTTCAGAGTTGTAGTCGCTGGGATTTATAGTTAACCTACAATCAAAGAGCATTCTGAACTTCAGCAATGATTGAATTGAATTTGGAACACAGAACTCCCATGACCAACAGAAAATACTGGAAAGATTTGGTGGGTATAGACCTTGAGTTTGGGAGTTGTAGTTCACCTACATCCAGAGAACACAAACAATGATGGATCTGGACCAAATCCGGCACAGATGCTCAATATGCCCATATGTGAACACTGGTGGAGTTTGGGGAAAGTAGACCTTGACATTTGGGAGTTGTAGTTGCAGGGATTTATAATTCACTTAAACCAAAGAGCATTCTGAACATCACCAACGATAGAATTGGGACAAACCTCCCACACAGAACCCCCATGACTAACAGAAAATACTATGTTTTCTCATTGTTTTTGGTGACCCCTCTGATACCCCCTCACGACCCCCAGGTTGAGAACCACTGGACTAAACGAATAAATAACATAAAATGCATTGCTTGGAACATAGAAGTCAGTCAGTAGGAAAAGTGGAAGGCCATATTCGAAATGAGGGAAGCCATGGCCCTGAGTCTGCAAGAGGATAGGGTGGCCTGGGGGGGGGGGGGGGGGGCGGGGGGCTCTCACTGACAGGGTGGCCTTGAGTCCAAGGCAGCCTGAAGGCCCTTCCCAACAGAGCCTCCTCCTCCTCCAGCCCCTCCCAAGCAGGAGCCCATTCACAGCCCCGCTCCCTTCCAAACCAGCGCCTGAGGGGCCCATTCCAAGCAGGAAAGCCATCCCCTTGCTATTCTCCATGGCAGGCCCTGAGGAAAGACAGACCTGGAGGGAGGGGCCTCCCGCCCACAGAGACTCCCTTCTCGCCCCTCCCCTTGTGCTTCCGCGTGCCTTTCAACAGCTGAGGGAGCAAAGAGAGAGGGAGAGACTCACCATAGTCAAAGGCAAGACTGACGCTGAGGCCAAGGGACGGCGAGGGAGGGGAAGCGCGCGCTGGTCGTCGCGGTAACGACGCAACCGCTCCAAGGCCCGACCAGCCAACCAGGTGCCAGACCTGCGGCTCACGCGCCACCCACTCAGCGAAGAGGCAAAAGCCCAGAGAGGAAGCGAGGAAGCGGGCGGCGTCTTCTTTGGCGCGTGACAGGAGAAAGCGCCCGCCCATTGGGTTTCCTGCGAGGATATGCAAATCCGAGGGACACTGGCGCGCGAGACGCTTCAAAGGAGGAGGGAGGATACCTCAGTTCTGTTTCATTTGGCCTAGGATCTGGTCCCAGGTTTTCTGCTTTAACCTGGATTATATTATTTTTATTTACTTATTTACTTTGTTGGCAATGGACATTTTGGGACAGCTTTAAAAAAAAAAAAAAGATAAATAGATCAGAATTTTTTTATTCTTTTCTTTCTGTCTCCTGCAATAACGTAGAGGGAAATCTATATAAATAAAAATGTAATGTTCTAGGTTCTTGTAGGTTTTTTCGGGCTATAGGGCCATGTTCTAGAGGCTTTCTCCTGACGTTTCGCCTGCATCTATGGCAAGCATCCTCAGAGGTAGTGAGGTCTGTTGGAAATAGGAAATGGGTTTATATATCTGTGGAATGGCTGGGGTGGGGCAAAGAGCTATTCTCTGCTGGAGCTAGGTGTGAATGTTTCAACTGACCACCTTCATTAGCATTTGAAGGCCTGGCTGAGCCTGGGAAAATCTTTTGTTGAGAGGTGTTAAGATGTGCCTGGTTGTTTCCTCTCTCCTGTTTTGCTGTTGTAATTTTAGAGTTTTAAATACTGGTAGCCAGATTTTGTTCATTTTCATGGTTTCCTCCTTTCTGAAATTGTCCACATGCTTGTGGATTTCAATGGCTTCTCTGTGTAGTCTGACGTGGTGGTTGATGGAGTGGTCCAGCATTTCTGTGTTCTCAAATAATATGCTGTGTCCAGGCTGGTTCATCAGGAGTCTACCGTATACCATGCAGCTGTGGACAAGTCTACATAGGGACCACCAAACGCAGCGCCCAAACACGAATCAAGGAACATGAAAAGCACTGCAGACTACTTCAACCAGAGAAGTCAGCCATAGCAGAGCACCTGATGAACCAACCTGGACACAGCATATTATTTGAGAACACAGAAATGCTGGACCACTCTAACAACCACCATGTCAGACTACACAGAGAAGCCAATGAAATCCACAAGCATGTGGACAATTTCAACAGAAAGGAGGAGACCATGAAAATGAACAAAATCTGGCTACCAGTATTAAAAAACTCTAAAATTACAACAGCAAAACAGCAGAGAGGAAACAAGCAGGCACATCTTAACACCTCTCAACAAAAGATTTTCCCAGGCTCAGCCAGGCCTTCAAATGCTAATGAAGGTGGTCAGCTGAAACACCTAGCTTCAGCAGAGAGCTCTTTGCCCCACCCCAGTCATTCCACAGATATATAAACCCATTTTCCTATTTCCAACAGACCTCACTACCTCTGAGGATGCTCGCCATAGATGCAGGCGAAACGTCAGGAGAAATGCCTCTAGAACATGGCCCTATAGGCTGAAAAAACCTACAAGAACCTAGTGATTCCAGCCATGAAAGCCTTCGACAATATATTATTTTTATTTACTTATTTACTTTGTTGGCAATGGACATTTTGGGACAGCTTTTTAAAAACAAGATAAATAGATCAGAATTTTTTTATTCTTTTCTTTCTGTCTCCTGCAATAACGTAGAGGAAAATCTATATAAATAAAAAATGTAATGTTCGTTGATGGGATTTTCTTTTTGTTTCTGAATGAATTTCCACTCAAAAGGGCCCTTCCACACAGCTGTATAATATCCACATTGAACTGGATTATATGGCAATGTGGACTCAAGGCCCTTCCAGACAGACCCTATATCCCAGGATCTGATCCCAGGTTTTCTGCTTTAAC